TGTTCCCACCTGTCCGCCTGCCCCAGCACTCATCCCATGCTCAAACACAGGAGCTGTGCGAGCTCCCCTCCTTTCCCCCTTGGTGTTTACCCTTTTTATTTTTTCCTCACAGTTGCTCACCCTGCTCTGTAGGAGCTGCAGATGCCTGCCTTTGCAATAGCACTTCTGTTTTAACCCTTTCTTAACTCTGAATGTGAATCTGCTGCTTGTTGCCAGTGACGGTCATCTCTTCCTCCTTATCAATATCAGATAAGACAGATGCAGAGAGTGCTCTTCTTCCAGGTACCTCTGATACATAATTTTCCAACCTGTCTTCCTGATTACTCTGGGGTTTCTTTTTCTTTTTCTTCTTTTTTAACTTTAAGCATCATTCCCCCAGTATCACAAGCTGAACAACATCTCTCCAGCTTAGCTTTCTGTTTTTCCCTGTCCTTTTCCAAAGCCAAAATTAAGGGATCTGGCAGAGCTATATTAATTTCACATTCTGTCTGTCACTCTGGGTGGTTTCTTAAAGTGAAAAACATATCTGCATACATTACTTCATCCCATTTTCCTTGCCCCCTCAAAACAGCATTAATTGTAACAATGTATTATAGTTCAGAGTTCCATTTTTAGGCCATTTTTCTGATCTTCCAAAGTATACAAAGGCCACCATTGGTTACAATATTTTACCAATGTTTTCTTGTTTACTGAGCCCCCAGGAGACCCTCCCAGTTCTTTCCAATGTGCCAAAATGCACCCTAAATAACATTTTCAAGATCTGTCCACTCTGCTGATTTTCCATTATCAATATCACATTCACACACATATGGGATCCCACAGACACACTCCACACAGTTACAACACTTGAGACAGAGACTAAAATTCAATCAAACAAACAACAATTAATAACACAGTGTCCTGGGTTCAGCAGTAGCAGTCATGTTTCTCCTTCTTGGTAGCTGGTGTAGTGCAGTGTTTTGACTTTCAGCTTGGGAACAGAGCTGATAGTGATGTTTTGGTTTGGCCAAGGACTTTGTGAGCCTCATGCTCTGCCAGGGAGGAGGGGAAGCCAGGAGGAAGCAGAGACAGGACACCTGACCCAAACTGACCAAAGAGGTATTCCATACCACAGCACATCATGCCCAGGATGTAACTGGGAGTTAGCCGGAGGGGCTGGGAGACTGCAGGGTTGGAGGAGGTATCGGTCGGTGCTTGGTCGGGCTTGGGGGGCGAGTTATCGGTCAGCTGGTGCTGAGGTGTTGTATTCTCTTCCCTTGTTATTTCCTTTATCATTATTATCATTGGTGGTAGCAGTAGTGATTTGTGTTATACCTTAGTTACTAAACTGTTCTTATCTCAACCCATGGGAGTTGCATTCTTTTCGATTCTCCTCTCTGTCCCTCCGGGAGCAGGGGGAGGGCAAGAAAGGGGGGGAAGTGAGCGAACGAATTACCTGACTGGGTTTAAACCACGACAGTTCCTTTTGGCACCCAACGTGGGGCACGAAGGGTTGAGATAACGACAGATCTGACCAGATTAATAGTCACTCGTCACAATGCTGATTTATTGGCTCTCAGAGTTGTTCTTGTTGATCTCACAGCTTCAGAATGTTGTAACTTACGTAGAGCCGGTATTCGCTGTGTTAGTGTTTATCAAGTGTGGGGCTTGGGCTAAGGTTCTTGTCTCACTGTGCTTTATGGCAATGGCTTGTAATACGGGCGGGCTCCAGCAGCAGGGCGGGACGGACATGGCCGTGGACTTGTACCTGGCCGTCCAGCTGCTCTTCACCGTCCTGGCCCTCGCCCTACTCTCCATCTTCGTGAGGCTGTGGGGAGCCGAGGGGGAGCGGCCCCGAGAGCCGGCGGCAGCCGAATCGGCCCGGGAGAGCGGCCCCGGGGAGCAAGCGGCGTCGGGAGCAGGGCCGGAGGCCGCGAGGGGACGGCTGCCGGTGGAGGAGGTCGGGGCGGTCGAGGAGAGGAAGGAGGCGGCTGCCGAGCAGCGGGAGAAGGCGGTGGAGGAGCCGAGCCCCGCGGAGGAGCCGAGCCCCGCGGCCGAGCCCAGCCCTGCGACGGCCGAGAGCATTTCCCGGCAGCCGCCCGCCGAGCCCCAGGAGGATGCAGGAGACCACGCAGCATTTCCCAGCAAGGCAGAGGAGGAAGAGCTGGACTCAGGAAAAGAGAAGCTGGTGGTGGGAGAGCCGGCAAGCACAGCAGCTACACCAGCCCCAGTGACAAGTACAGCAGCATCGTTTGAGAGTTCTGAAGGTTTTGAATGGCCTTTGGGTACACTTGGGACCTGCCTGCTGATTGTGATGGGGATCAGCATGTTGGCACACACACAGACTGTGTTCTACCCACAACCATTTTGTCTGATCTCAAAAGTTAAGCAGAGTCAGGTTTGGGTCTTGTCTGGGGTTAGATGACGATGCAGGGGGACCAAGAGATTTTCCCCAAGGCTGGACAGTCATGAGTGGCAGGGTGTGTGGGACAGTATGGGCAAGTATCTAGTCCACTGGGCCCCTCCAGTGCTTTGGAAGCATCGGAGATGGAAGGCAGCTGTATGGAGTCCCCAGCAACAAGCTGCAGAAACTGCTTAAGGGGACAGTGAATTATTTTAAGCCTGGTGGGCCCATGGCACTTCAGGCCATCAGAGCAGAGATGCAACATACAGATGGACTCATGATCGAGGGGTATACTTAGCAATGGACACTATTGCCCAGGTTATTCACAAGTGTGAACACTGCACACAGTCTCTCCTGCTCTGGAAGACTGTTACAAGAGGTGGAGCCTGCCATCATGGACCAGATGGACTCAGCAGCTTTATAGGGACTGGTCCATGCACTAAGATCAGAGTGATGGTATATTGAAAATGTGGGATCTGAGCATGACGTGAATGGTATGGAATAAGGGGTGGATAATGTCCTGGGTTCAGCAGTAGCAGTCATGTTTCTCCTTCTTGGTAGCTGGTGCAGTGCAGTGTTTTGACTTTCGGCCTGGGAACAGAACTGATAGTGATGTTTTGGTTTGGCCAAGGACTTTGTGAGCCTCATGCTCTGCCAGGGAGGAGGGGAAGCCAGGAGAAAGCAGAGACAGGACACCTGACCCAAACTGACCAAAGAGGTATTCCATACCACAGCACGTCATGCTCAGGATGTAACTGGGAGTTAGCCGGAGGGGCTGGGAGACTGCAGGGTTGGAGGAGGTATCGGTCAGAGCTTGGTCGGGCTTGGGGGGCGAATTATCGGTCAGCTGGTGCTGAGGTGTTGTATTCTCTTCCCTTGTTATTTCCTTTATCATTGTTATCATTGGTGGTAGCAGTAGTGATTTGTGTTATACCTTAGTTACTAAACTGTTCTTATCTCAACCCATGGGAGTTGCATTCTTTTCGATTCTCCTCTCTGTCCCTCCGGGAGCAGGGGGAGGGCAAGAAAGGGGGGGAAGTGAGCGAACGAATTACCTGACTGGGTTTAAACCACGACACACAGTTATAACATCCTGTCACCAGTACCAAAATCACAAGGCCAAAATCATTACTGTAACAAGCTACGAAATAATTAAATACCAATAAGACCCAAAACCATTTCCACAAGTCACTCCCTGTGTCTTGTAGGACCCAAACCACAAGATGCCCCCTGCTTCTTGTGGGTGTATGCCAGCAGCCAGGTATATGCTTTTACCTACCACCTGTGTATCGATACACCAAACCCTTTGGGTGAGCACCCGTGCTCTTTACCTCGCATAGGACATCTCCTTACGACTTACAGGTATCCCCTTTACCTGGTTCAAACATACCTGATGATTCACTAGTGATGGTCCTTGTCTGCCCCTGCGGTGATCTGAGTGAGTGGGGGAGTCCTCCTGAGAAATCTCGGGTGCGCCCAGAGGAGTCCCGTCCTCAGCAGGTCTCGCACCCGGACAGAGATGGTCCCATCTGGGGTGCCAAATTGAAGCACAGAATCAGACTCTACAACTCAGAGAGAGTTATAAAGCAGGTATATTTATTACAGCACCGGGTGCAAGGGGGATCCCTCCTCCTAACTTGCACCCTGAGGGGTTAAGCAAGCAGATATTCATTACACACAAACATACATATTCATTAGGTTCTCGATCGGGGGGGGGGGGGGGGGGGGGAATATTACAATTAGTTTAGGTACTCATTATCATAAGTTTCCTCCCTTTTGGCACTTGCGCACTGCCCTCTGATGGTCATGGGCAGGGGTCTTCAAGATGAAGTAAGCAGTCTTCCTCAGGGTGCACTTTTCACCTTTGGCACAGTTGGATGCCCCAGTAATCACAAATTAGCTGAAACCAGCCATATCTGCAAGTTTCTGATAGCTGGCAAAGATTTAAAACAGTGCATGTGCCCTTCATGTACAAAATTTATTGCCTCCCAAGCTAGCAGATGTTCGGGAGTCACTGTCTCCAAACTAACTGATAATTAGAAGGATGGTAAGAAATACTTCACTCATTAGAAGGATGAAAGGAAACAATTAACTCTTGTTAGTAAGACTACTAAGTTCTGTTATCACACCACAGACTTACAACACAAACATTGTTCTCTATCTTAGACCTAAGCTAAGTTAAAAGTATTTTAACCCTATGTTTTCCAGGCACTTGCTTTCCTTATATCAGGGTGTCGGTCTGCAGGTGGTGAGCGGTTATCTTCTCTTCCCTTATTATTTCCCTTATCATTATTGGTGATAGCAGTAGTGGTTTTGTATTATACCTTAGTTACTGGACTGTTCTTATCTCAGCCCCTAGGAGGTACATTTTTTCGATTCTCCTCCCCATCCCTCTGAGAGTGAGGGGAGGAAGAAGGGGGGTGAGTGAGCAAGTGGCTGTGTGGTTCTGGGTTGCTGACTGGGCTTAAACCACGTCAGTAGGTATCTCAATCAGTGTGGTGGTCTTTAGAGAACTGAAATTATTACCAGTGCTGCAGGTCTGTTTTTCAGTTTGTGTAGTAACCTGTTATGCACTGATAAGTGAAATCAGGTCTGTGACGTCTTTCATATTGTGTTTTTAGGATGGGCTCTTCCACAATGGATGGGGCAAATGATACTGCTGACCTTGTGATTAACAAGAGATTTGTGTCTGAATCTGAGCTAGAGGAGCGATGGAAGAGGAGGCAAGAGGAATGGGAAAAGGTCCGAAAACCTGAGGATCCAGAAGGTATGGGATAAATTTTAATAATTTTAGGAAGGAGATCTGAGAATATTTTGCTTTTGTGGAAAACAGAAATAAAAGGTAATAGTTTGTATTCTACGATTTCAAAAGGTTTCTACATAAAGGAACTAAGATCTGTTGGTGTTTTAGTGTTTCTAATGTATGGTCTCATTTCTCGATTTGTTCCTTCCTTTCAGAATGTCCAGAGGAGGCATACAGCTCACATTCCTTGTCTGAAATACTTCAGGAACAGAGAGAAAAGAAGCAGAAGGAGTTTGAGGAGCAGTTTAAATTCAGTAAGCACCTGTAGTTACTATTTTGAACCAAAACCCAGCAAGCTGCATGTATTGTGTGCAACAGCTGTGTACAACATCTGACTGAGGGACATATCTGTGTTTTGTCTGTCTCTGAGAGATAAATAGAGGCTTCAGAAAAGTATTATTCATGTCTTGTATTGTTCAAGGGTGGTAGATGTTCCTGCAGACAACACATTGTCCTGGGCCCTGTGACAGCACTGTGCAGGTGTGACCCTCAAAAGTTGCTTGCAGTTTCAAAGCTGCATTCCTGTAAAGCATGGAATGCTTGGCTTATTTTGCACAATTAAATCAAAAAATTCCCTGATACCAATTCCTGGAGGAGTGGAAATGTAATATGGTTTTGAGACTCTTGAACTTTGTCCTGGTTTCAGCTGTAACAGTTATTTTTTCCCCTTCTTAGTTGCTGGTGCAGTGCTGTGTTTTCAACTTTAGCCTGAGAACAGTCCTGATAACATAATGTTTTTAGTTGTGAAGTGATGCTTGCTCTGATCAAGGGCTTTCTGAGTCTCATGCTCTGCCAGGGAGGAGGGGAAGCCAGGAGGAAGCAAAGGCAGGACACCTGACTCAAACTAGCCAAAGGGGTATTCCATCCCACAGCATGTCATGCCCAATATAACTGGGGGGAGTCACCCAGAAGGCCCAGATCACTGCTCAGGTCAGGCTGGGTATCAGTCGGTGGGTGGTGAGCAGTTGTATTTGGCATCACTTTGGTTTATTGTGTTTTGTTTTTCCTTTTAGTTTTATATTCTCTCCCTTTGTTATTTCCCTTATTATTATTTTTGGTGGTAGCAGTAGTAGTTTTGTATTCTTTCGATTCTCCTCCCCATCCCCCCAGGAGAGGGGGGGAGAAAGGAGGGGAGTGAGCAAGCAGCTGCGTGGTTCTGAGTTACCAGCTGAGCTTAAACCACAACAAACTCTATTTGAATCAATAAAAAAAAAAGCCCTGTGTTCAGCAGCTGTTAGATTTCCAAGCCATAATTAGTTGACACAAAAGTGAGTTGAAGCTCAAGATGACTAAACATTGATTATTCTAAAAGTAGGTGTTTAGCTCTTCTGATGAAGTAGAAACCTAATTTCTGCTGATGTTTGAATTTCTGGTTTTATAGAAAATCCTTTGCATTGTATCACCTGTATATGTGCTGCTGAGTGCAAAGATGATAATGAGAACTAGAAAATTATTAGTCCACCATTTTGGGAAAAAGGGAGCTATTGGCTCTTATCTAAAGAGAAGTGGGGATGATACTGTGAGACTCCATTTTAAGGTGGGTTCTGATCCATTTTTGTTCTTTAGCTGGAAGCCTTGCCCCTAAATGATTGTGTTCTTTAAGCTCGAATTTGCCTAGCTGGATTCTGTCTAGAATTTCTCTTGCATTTGTGATGTGACAAAATCATGTTTACCTTTATGTTTGGGACAATCTGAGTTTCCTTAGGTAATGCTCCCTGCCCCTGCAGATGCTATTGAGTACAGCACTGATGACCATGACTGCCTTTTGCTGTTTTGTAGTAGATGCTTTTAGAATCATTCCTATAGCCAAATTTCTGTGGGAGGAACTGACTAACTGACAATTAGTGTTGGGTGGACTTTGGACCACTAGTTTTACCTCATCAGAGTTCATCTCAATTTGGCCACTTGTGACAAGATTTGTCCCCTTATATGCTTGAATTTGCCTTAAAATGTTCATAAATAATTTTTCTATCCATGGGAATTTTGGAGGTGTAGAAAACGAGTTTAGTGCACTGTCATTCTGATCTGTCAGAATTGGTGATGGGACTTGGGAGGAGAAACACCTTAATGCTGAAGAATTGTGTTCACATAAATACACAAACTTAGTTACACTCTGAACTTTTTGTGCAGATAAAAACCGGTACGCAGACTAGCAGTTCTTCTTTCTGCTGGGTTATTCAGCATTGCAAGTATGTCTTCCTTTTCAAAGTAAAGTAATTTTAGTAGACTGTTACAACATTTTAAATGAAGAATAATCATAGAATCACAAGAGTGATTTGTGTTGGAAGGGACTTTAAAGCTCATCTAGTTCCAACCCCCTGCCACGGGCAGGGACACCCTCCACTTAGAGCAGGTTGCTCCAAGCCCTGTCCAACATGGCCTTGAACACTGCCAGGGATGGGGCAACCACAGCTTTTCTGGGCAACCTGTGCTAGCGTCTCATCACCCTCACAGGGAAGAATTTCTTTCCATTCTCTATAATTCAACTTTAAAAAAATTATTTCTGACTGATTATGTAACTAAAATAAGGAGAAGTGGAAGTTATTTCCTGTCTCTCAAGTGTCACTTGTATTTTTGGTGGTGAAAAGTGGAAAGTACAGATGGCAGCATGAATGCATAAAAGTCTCCAACTGTGCCTACAGGATTCTTTCCAGCTGGAGAGTTTACAGTTTACTGAGGTAAACTCTTGATTCAGGTCATCATTGGTGATTTGACTAAGCAATTCTTGTTCAGGTAGCCACCAGGAAACTGACTGCTAGCAAAGTGGATGGGAAAGACTTCTAGTCTTTCTACTCCTTAATTACAGAATCCAGCTGCTTCCTAAGTGGTTTTAGCTTATCAACATGCATTCTTTTCCTTTATTCAGAAAATATGGTAAGAGGCTTAGATGAAGATGAGACTCATTTCCTTGATGAAGTTTCTCAGCAGCAAGAGCTACTAGAAAATCAACCGATAGAAGAAGAGCTGAAAGAACTAAACGAATACAGAATATCCTTTACGTTAAAATGGCTGGTGGTTGTATAGAGGAGGAGTAGAGACAGGGCTAGTTTTATTCTGTGATAAACATTGCTTCTATAGAACTGCATTACAGAACATGTGCTATGATAGACTTTTTAACATTTAATGTTTTCATTGCAACTTGGATCTCCCACTGTAATGTTTGATGTTCCTCCCTCCTCCTCAGCCTACACATCTTTGGTACTTTTCTTTCCCCCTCCACTTGTTTGGGATTTTGGTTTAGTTTTCCCTGTTATTAAGGGCATGAAATACCATAGCTAAAAAGAGTAAAAGAACATAGAGGAAAATCAGCATATTACTGCTAATCTTTTGCTTCTTATTGGAAAGTAAATGTTCTTGTTTCTTTTTTTAACTGCATATTGGCTGGTTTTAACATGCCTGTTTGAAATAACATTTGAATGGTTCTCTGTTATTGTTTTGAAGTCTTATCTACTTTCTCTCCTGCTGATAACTGCAGGATGAGAAATTACATACATCTGTGCAGATGTGCTGACTTTCTTCTGGGAAGTCAGTGCCCATGGAGACTCAGCTCCTTTGGGTAATACAGACTTTTAGGCAGTATTAGGAGCAGGATAGTTTGGCTTTGCTGTTAAATGCCAATTTTTCAAGATGTGCTAGAAAATAATATAGGATGTGTTTTCTCTTAGATCATGCCAGTCAAGGTAGGTTGGAATGATTTGAGGATTTCTGTGCTAAGCTAAGCATTGTTTTTTTGAGGTTTACTGAATCTATGCAGAACCTGATGGTCTCTTGCCTCCTGATAAAAACCATTTTAAGTCATCAGTGAGCAAAGCACAAGTTCTCCAGGTTGCTTTAACATAAATGAGTTTGTTGGCACAAGGAGGTGACTAAAACCAGTCATCAAGTGAAGCTGAATAGTGCCAATGCTACAAAGGTCTGCATTACCTTGTATTAGTTAATGTTTTACAATTTAGAGCATGTGTTCTGAGAAGAGCATCTAAGTTATCTCAGCAATGTGTTTATGAAAAAGCAATAATCCTAGAATGGTTTGGGTTGGAAGGGAGCTTAAAGCTGATCCAGTTCCAACCTGCTGCCACGGGCAGGGACACCTACCACTAGACCAGGTTGTTCAAAGCCCTGTCAATGCTCATGCATTTTTTTCACTTCAGAAATAGGTTGCAGTTGGTTGAATGATTTGGAATTTTTTCTTGATTTCTTGGATCTCAAAATGGGATGCCCATAGGATAAATTAATTCGGAGAAATCTCCAGGAACTCGCCAACGAAGTTTAAGTTGACAAGCAGGTATTCTTTATTGCGGCGCCAGGAGACACGGAGGATAGCTCTACCTAGCGTATGTCTCTGTATTGCTACACAAGCCGTCCTTACATAATCACTGGGCATACATATTCATTACTACATACATATTCATGAGGTTGCGAATGAATTTCATCATTTTCCAGAAAGTTTCCCCGCATGTGTACAAAATGTGGTGGTGGTCTCTGAGGGTCGTTTACTTCTTCCAACAATCTTCATCACTTCTGGCAGCCTTTGAAGCACCCGCAGTAGATAATGTTTATACCAGCTTAATTGGTTCAGTTACACTGCAGACATAGCAATCATCCTGTCCTTCTTATCAGTTAGTTTAGCTGCAGCCCATCCTGGACACCTGCTAGTCCCAGTTACTCCCCATCCCCACGTCCTGTTTTTCTATCCTGTTTTTCTTACACTTATTGTTGTACTAAGGTAATAAGGACCTAAAACTACGCCAACTACAACAGTTTATCCTATACAATAATTCTTATTATGTTCTCTAGCTGCACTCTACTATTTTTTTTTCTGTGAAACATGTACCTCAGTTATTTTCCATTGCTACTGTTACAAAGCCATCAAACTTAACATTACTTAAAACTGATTCTACTTATTTACAAAGGTTTATTTTTCATTTTGTGATTTTGTGCCTCCTTGTCTCAATATTTAGTTTTGGTGATTGTTACTTGTGGGTCTGGCTGATTCAGGGATGTGCCATATAAGATTGTCCTGTGGAAGCAGCTGACAGCTCTAGTTAGGTCACATACATCTGGGGTGAACCATACTAGCCCAGAGGGAATCTTAGGCTGTCTTGAATTAGCCACATAACACATGGATCCCTGAATTTAGTGAGCAGGGCCTGTTCAACATGTACAGTCCATCTAACCTCAGTATTTGCAGTCTTGGAAATATTGTCTGGCTTTGTATCTGAAGTCTTGCTGTAAATTAAACTGCAGAAGTTATTACTGATGGAGTGGGTGCAGGGAGAATGTTTTATAGTTGCCTCATTTCATGAGGAACTGAGAAGTTTTGCTCATTCCTTTCCATTTTTTAATTTTTTTTATTTTTATTTAACCATAATATTTCAAGTAACCTCAGGGAAACTTGCAAAATGACTCACCTGTGTTTTGAAAGTTTTGGTGGTATGCTTTTGAAATAGAAAAGGTGTTTTTGCATCTGCAGGTTGTTACTAATGGTTTATCAGTACAGTGACAAAAAACAGTGGATGCTAGGTAAATGTGCTGGATCTATAGGCACTGTTCAAGTGCTCTTCCAAACTAATAAGAGGAATGTCAACCTCTTGGGTTTGATTATTTGGTCTTTTTCTTGGTATAACACCCAATTTAAGCTACCCAGAGGAATTACTTTCAAGGTAAAAACCTCTACATGAAATCATGTTCCTTAAAGGATAAATATGCCGTGGAAAATTTTAATGCACTCTCAAGCACAAGAAATTCATATGCATGGATGCATAGGAATTTTACTTTCTCCTACATGAACAACTAGGGGGTTTTGCTTCTTGCCCTATCCAGACCCCGCTGGTCTGACAGTGTTTCATAGAATCATAGAATAGTTAGGGTTGGAAAGGACCTTGAGATCATTGAATTCCAACCCCTCTGCCATGGATGTCTCCCACTAGACCATGTCACCCAAGGATTAAAGATTTAAACTTTAAAGATTTATTTTTTTATTTATTTTTTAAAGCCAGTCCCAGGAAGTGTTTGAAAACAGCACCCTCTTGTCTTAAATCCTATGTAAATGTAGGAAAAGTCCCACTCCCAAGAAGCAGGCTTTTCTGTAGGACAGCTTTTTAAATGCTGCTGACATTTAATATCAAGAGGTTTATTTCTAATGTAGTCTTCCTGAGAGGGGATGCTTCTTGTCTAGATAGTGTTAAATTTGCTAATGGTAGCAGTACATAGAAAATATCTATTAAAAATGCGCTGTGTCTCTGGTAGTTGAGGTGTGTCAGGAGAATGGCATTCTGGATGGAAGTGAAAACCCTGTAATTTGGTATTGTTTAAAAGAAAAGCCTTTGGGTTCCTCAGCCTGGCTTTTGTAGCACAGTGTTAGAATGCAACAAGGTAACGAATGGACACACAGAAGTTGAACACTGGTGTGTGGAATCGTGTGTTGCAACATCAAACCATGTTTGACACAATGAGCTTTCAGATTGCTTCTGATAGCCACAGGATGGCACTCCTCTGCCATCTGAAATAAAACTTAGCAGGGGTTTTGGCTGACATGGCTTTCAGTTGAGATAGGGAGCAGTCTGGGTTACTACTGTATCCTCAGGAAAATCCAAGAAGGAATGGCATCAGAATACTCCTAATTGTAAAGTGATTGGAGACTTTGAGTGTGTCACTTCAAAGGAAGGTGTAAGGCTTTTTTGATTTGCAGATGTTCAGTGAGGAAAAAACTATGACTTCATGGATATGGTCCATTGGTGTAAAATTCACTGTCCAATTTGTCTGCAGTAACTGGGGCACCTGTGAAACTCCAGCTTGTGGTGATGTCATATGATCAGTGGAATTGCAATCAGGTTAGATTTAGGTTTATAAACAAATACCCTTTTAAATCGGGTTGATTTGCCTTTGCTATGTGGAGTTTAAAAGTTTTGCAGAAGTTTTTGTGACTCTACTGGCACCTCATTAACAAACAGGATCTTTGACAGACCTTGCTTCATCAGGGATAGCTTGGACATGAACAGTTATCAGGGTGGGACTAGGTCCTGCATGGAAGGAGACCTGTTTAGTGTGATTGTGCCTTAATAACAGACCAAGCTCCTCCTTATCCTGTCTAACAACCTGCTTAAGCTTCTCTTCCTCATTACAGGTTTCAGCTGCATCCCATGATTCTAACACTGTTTCAAGCTACTTAGTTTTCCTGTGCTGTCACAATCTTTTTGGATGAATCTTGAACCACATGCACCCTTTAGTCAGATGTGTCTCCTTCCTCTTGGGTTTGGTGTTCAAACTGGCAGTAGTAGCCTTGTGGCACTTACAGAGAGATGAGATAAAAAGTTAGAGTAATAAGTACCAAACCATAAAGTTGAACTGTTTTGCTGTGGTAGGCTGTCTGCTGGACTTAGCAAAAGGAGGTTTGGAGGAATGGAAGTGAGCCCACATATTGCTACTTATATTTTTTGTAAGGATTTAGGGGTTGAAGCAGCAAATTTGAATTACAAATGCGTTGATCCCCATAGAGAGGGGAAGTATTGTATTGTGCTGCTTTTTTTTTTTTTTTTCTTTCCCCTGTGTCCTGGGTTCAGCAGTAGCAGTCATGTTTCTCCTTCTTGGTAGCTGGTGCAGTGCAGTGTTTTGACTTTCGGCCTGGGAACAGAACTGATAGTGATGTTTTGGTTTGGCCAAGGACTTTGTGAGCCTCATGCTCTGCCAGGGAGGAAGGGAAGCCGGGAGGAAGCAGAGACAGGACACCTGACTCAAACTGACCAAAGAGGTATTCCATACCACAGCACATCATGCCCAGGATGTAACTGGGAGTTAGCCGGAAGGGCTGGGTCTCTGCAGGGTTGGAGGAGGTATCGGTCGGTGCTTGGTCGGGCGGAGGGGGGCAAGTTATCGGTCGGCTGGTGCTGAGGTGTTGTATTCTCTTCCCTTGTTATTTCCTTTATCATTATTATCATTGGTGGTAGCAGTAGTGATTTGTGTTATACCTTAGTTACTAAACTGTTCTTATCTCAACCCATGGGAGTTGCATTCTTTTCGAATCTCCTCTCCATCCCTCCTGGAGTAGGGGGAGGGAAAGAAGTGGGGGGAGTGAGTGAACGAATTACCTGACTGGGTTTAAACCACGACAGTTCTTTTTGGCGCCCAACGTGGGGCACGAAGGGTTGAGATAACGACAGATCTGACCAGATTAATAGTCACTCGTCACAATGCTGATTTATTGGCTCTCAGAGTTGTTCTTGTTGATCTCACAGCTTCAGAATGTTGTAACTTACTTAGAGCCGGTATTTGCTGTGTTAGTGTTTATCAAGTGTGGGGCTTGGGCTAAGGTTCTTGTCTCACTGTGCTTTATGGCAATGGCTTGTAACACGGGTGGGCTCCAGCAGCAGGGCGGGACGGACATGGCCGTGGACTTGTACCTGGCCGTCCAGCTGCTCTTCACCGTCCTGGTCCTCACTCTACTCTCCATCTTCGTGAGGCTGTGGGGAGCCGAGGGGGAGCGGCCCCGGGAGCCGGCGGCAGCCGACGGCAGCCGACGGCAGCCGAATCGGCCCGGGAGAGCGGCCCCGGGGAGCAAGCGGCGGCGGGAGCAGGGCCGGAGGCCGCGAGGGGACGGCTGCCGGTGGAGGAGGTCGGGGCGGTCGAGGAGCAGAAGGAAGGGGCTGCCGAGAAGCGGGATAAGGCGGTGGAGGAACCGAGCCCCGCGGAAGAGCCGAGCCCCGCGGCCGAGCAGAGCCCCGCGACGGTCGAGAGCATTCCCCGGCAGCCGCCCGCCGAGCCCCAGGACGACGCAGGAGACCACGCAGCATTTCCCAGCAAGGCAGAGGAGGAAGATCTGGACTCGGGAAAAGAGAAGCTGGTGGTGGGAGAGCCGGCAAGCACAGCAGCTACTCCAGCCCCAGTGACAAGTACAGCAGCATCATGTGAGAGTTCTGGAGGTTTTGAATGGCCTTTGGGTATCCTTGGGACCTGCCTGCTGATTGTGATGGGGATCAGCATGTTGGCACACACACAGACTGTGTTTTACCCACAACCATTTTGTCTGATCTCAAAAGTTAAGCAGAGGCAGGTTTGGGTCTTGTTTGGGGTTAGATGACAATGTAGGGGGACCAAGAGATTTTCCCCAAGGCTGGACAGTCATGAGTGGCAGGGTGTGTGGGACAGTATGGGCAAGTATCTAGTCCACTGGGCCCCTCCAGTGCTTTGGAAGCATCGGAGATGGAAGGCAGCTGTATGGAGTCCCCAGCAACAAGCTGCAGAAACTGCTGAAGGGGACAGTGAATTATTTTGAGCCTGGTGGGCCTATGGCACTTCAGGCCATCAGAGCAGAGATGCAACATAGAGATGGACTTATGATCAAGGGGTGGACTTAGCAATGGACACTATTGCCCAGGTTATTCACAAGTGTGAACACTGCACACAGTCTCTCCTGCTCTGGAAGACTGTTACAAGAGATGGAGCCTGCCATCATGGACCAGATGGACGCAGCAGCTTTATAGCTACTGGTCCATGCACTTAGATAAGAGTGATGGTATATTGAAAATGTGGGATCTGAGCACGACGTGAATGGTATGGAATAAGGGGTGGATAATGTCCTGGGTTCAGCAGTAGCAGTCATGTTTCTCCTTCTTGGTAGCTGGTGCAGTGCAGTGTTTTGACTTTCGGCCTGGGAACAGAACTGATAGTGATGTTTTGGTTTGGCCAAGGACTTTGTGATCCTCATACTCTGCCAGGGAGGAAGGGAAGCCGGGAGGAAGCAGAGACAGGACACCTGACTCAAACTGACCAAAGAGGTATTCCATGCCACAGCACGTCATGCCCAAGATGTAACTGGGAGTTAGCCAGAAGGGCTGGGAGGCTGCAGGGTTGGAGGAGGTATCGGTCGATGCTTGGTCGGGCGGAGGGGGGCAAGTTATTGGTCGGCTGGTGCTGAGGTGTTGTATTCTCTTCCCTTGTTATTTCCTTTATCATTATTATCATTGGTGGTAGCAGTAGTGATTTGTGTTATACCTTAGTTACTAAACTGTTCTTATCTCAACCTGTGGGAGTTGCATTCTTTTCGATTCTCCTCTCCATCCCTCCTGGAGTAGGGGGAGGGAAAGAAGGGGGGGGAGTGAGTGAATGAGTTACCTGACTGGGTTTAAACCACGACACCCTGTTAGTCCAGTCTGACCTTTCTGATTTCCTAAGACCTTTAGGAAAAGGCAGGATGCTGGGTATGTTTATGGGTGCTGGATGTGTCGTGTGTTGCACCTTTCTGCCTTCAGAAAAGCATCTCCTGATCTGCTGCCTGGATGTCTTTACAGGGAGAGCTGATATTAATACTGAGAGAACTCCACACCCAGAGGGTGAAGTCTCTGCTGTCTTGGCCAAAGATGTCAGTTAAATGTCATTACAAATAAGGTTATTTTGATAGACTATGTGAATGAACTTCAGTTGCTGCTGTCAGCAGAGCTGGCTAAATATATCAGGAGAGGAAGTATCTGTTCTCGCCATTTCTTCCTGGTTGATCCTTAACCCTTAGTTCACAGCACTCTCACTGAAGTGGGAGTCAGTGTGGACCCAAAGAAGGAAACTGAGAAGAAATTGCCCATGAAGTCCATGGAAAACAAGAACACATTCTCTCAGGCAAAGCTGTTAGCAGGAGCTGTGAAACACAGAAGGTTAGTTTTGCACCTTTATAAATTCGTGAGTAACGTAACCCAGTTAGTAGTGTAAAGTGAGGCAGGCCAATACTGCCTTCAGAGAGTGAGGTGTGAACTTTAGCCCTAAAGAAAAAAGAGGGGAGGTAGAAGAAAAGACCAGCCTTGTTTCCATAGGCTCTCACAAACTGTGGGAGAAACATGACGCAATTCAAATAGGTAAGTGTGTGTAAAAGCAAGTGGGTAGACTGTTTATGCTAGACTGCCAGGCTTGACCAATCTCGTTTGGGGATCTAGGGGGAATCTATTTTACGTCTCTCTTTATAGATATCAGTGTCACCTCACTTGTGTGATTTCCTTCAGCTTTGCATAGTGTATCAACTGATTTTTATCTGTGTTTTAATTGCTGCTGGGGGCAGCATGGGGGAGACAGAGGTTACGAGAGAAGAGCTTGGTGTACCAATTTGATCCTGAGGGTATCAGGCAAACTTCCCTTGTTCCTCACTGATTTGCACTCTTTCCATCCCAGGGAGATGGTAGCTGGGTTTGTGACCTGTTTGCTGTTTTGATCATGGCCTGCAAACACAGCTGCTGGTGTGCTACAGGTTCTGGAGAAACTAGGCAATGTGGGACCAGGGTTCTTTCCCACAGATGAGTCATCTAATACTTAAGATGATTACTGACATCTCAAAATTCAGTCAGTGTTTTTGTCCCAAAGAATGAGAGATTATTTTAGAAGCTTATCTTGTAGGGTGATGTTTAGCTACCAGTACAGCAGTAATTGCATGTCTGAAAACTGAAGTAAGTACTTCTACCACCTAATGTGTGTAGGGTTGGGTAGTAGTTTGGGTTTTTGGAAGGCAGAGAAGAAAAGCCTTGAACTGATAACAAGCAGCCAAAAATGTTTTGGGGTGTGTTTGGTTTTGTCGTTGTTGTTGTTTTTTTGAGGGGGGGGGGGTTGAGTGGGTTGTTTTTTTTTCTTATAACTACTAGTACTTAACACAGTAGAATGTAGAGAAGGAGCTGGCATGTGCTTAATGGCACATCTGAAGTCTGCAGATGGCATCGATTTGAAGAGAGCAGCTTAACTGACATGTCAGTGCCATCACAGACTTGCTTTGCCGTCTTCTATTTTTGCTGTCTTATCTTTTATTGCAAACTGTACAAAACCAAGTGTAGCATGAGATCAACATCTGCTCTCTGAGCTTTGTAGTTTCCTGTAAAAGATGTATTATTATTAAAACCTTTTATCTTTACTGTATGCTCTGACAGGGACAGGAAAGAGTTAATGCATAAGGATGCTCATACATTATCACTTTAGTTCATCACAGCTGAAGCTGGGAAGCATTTGTTTATGTGGATGGCTTAAGATTGGGAACATACAAGAGGGGCGTAAAAAGAAACTGAAACTATAGAAGGGAAGAGACATGGGTGTTGCACCAGCAACTATGGTCATCATCCACATGAGCAAGCCTGTGGGCATGTGGAGTGGCTAAAGCTCAGGTCATCATTCATGATCTCCTTTGAGGTACTTCCAGCTGAATAGGCAGCTCTGGGCTGCTGTGCAAGAGGTCTAACTTGGACTCCCAGAGTCCAAATGTGTCTGTTTCCCAGGTTAACCTACTTGCAATGTAGGTGTTGGCTATGTCTAGGATCCTGCATGTTCCCCAAGGAGCTCCACTCAATAGCAGTTAGAAGTGGTGATGGTCATCAGGGGATACCACTGGCATTTGCTATAGCATTTGAGGCAAAGATGTGACTTTAACTTCACAGTAATTAAATGATTACCTTATGAGGAACAAGACACTTTCTTATTTTGTCCACAGTTCAGATGGTGGTAACAGTGTGAAGAGGTTGAAACTAGATACTGATCATGACGAAAAGAATCAAGGTATGTCCTCATTTCTGCATGTGGCAAGCTGGCTGTCTCTTGCCTGAACAGCAACTGACTTGGTGTTAAATCTGATAGAGGATTTGCTTGTCTGGTCCTTCATTATGCAAGACAGCACAGATCACAGTTAGCATGTTCTCTCTTAAAGCAGCAGAAATGGTAACTATAGGTACTGACAACAGTCTTCATAGAAAATAGGGCTGGAGGGAACCTCTACGGGTCATCACTCTGTCCCCTGCCTAAATTATTCCTGATGGGCATTTGTCTAAGCTGCTCTTAAATCTCCACAGATAGAGATTGTGCACCCTCCTTAGGCAGTTTATTCTAATGCATAACTGATTTTACCCTTAAGGAGTTCTACCTGATAACTAATAAGAGTCTCCTTGGCTGCATTTTGAGCCTAATGCTTGTTCTGCCAAAAGGAGACATGGAGAACATATCAACCCTTCCTCTTCACAGCAGCATTTGATGTATTTGTATATATCCGCTATTAGCTTTTCATGTGATGGAGTGATCTTTTGCATCCTGAAACCAATTTGTTTCAGAAAATTATGGGGAACTAGAAGCAAAATTAAGTTGCATTTCAATCTTAGCTGTCAGGGCTGCAGTTGACTTGCTGTCAGGATACTCTGACACAAATAGGATGAGCTGCAATTGTATAATAGCAACCCAAGGAGCTTCCTGAATCTCCTTCTGTTCAGTAAACTTTCAGAACACTAGAAATAATCAGCTGTGGAAGATGGGAGATGTTGGCTGGCAGAATAAAGCTTTTCCCCAACTATGCTGTTAAATTGCAAAAAAATACTCAATTACACAAAGCAGAGCTATTTCTTCTTATTTAGTGGCTTTGGTACTTGACAAGCATGAAACTGACAACTTCAGAATGAAAATCTGTAATGCCAGCATAGAGCTGGACTGAAACTAGTGATGAGAAAAGGAAAATAAAAAAAATACCCTGAGGTAGCAAGTCCTTCCTGTCAGAATAGCTTCATTGCAACATAAAGCTGCCTTATGCTTTAATTAAATCCTGCAGTCATTCACTGCTGTGGCAATAGCAGGTAACTGCCACAAGGCTGATTAAAAGCCTTTTCCCCATGTACTCTTTTTTGACTGTGGTACCTCTTTTTCAGAAAAAACATCCTGTGTTCCCTTGGGGAGCAGCTCGGTGGGAGGCTCCACAGTCCACTGTTCCTCAGCAGCCGTGTGCATTGGGATCCTGCCTGGCCTGGGCACCTACTCGGGCAGCAGTGATTCAGAGTCCAGCTCGGATAGCGAAGGCACTATTAATTCCACTGGGAAGATCGTCTCTTCTGTCTTCCGTAGCAACAATTTCTTTGATAGTCCATAATGAAATCCCTCCATGTGTAATGTAGTGCAGAGTATCTTCCAAAGCCCTGATGGATGCTTGATGCATCCTTCTGCCCCAAATGGAATCTTTCTAGCTAACCTCGCAATGTTAATACACTCAGATACTCCTAAAATAACTCATTATATTCCACCCCCACCCAACTTTCCATTTCTGTAAGAAGGCTGCCATCCTAAACCAGAAAGCACACCTAGTAACTGTCATGGCTTAAGTCCAGCCAGTAACTGAGAACCACGCAGCCGCTTGCTCACTCCTCCCCTCCTCCCCCCACTCCTGGAGGGATGGGGAGGAGAATCAAAAGAATGTAAATCCCACAGGTTGAGATGAGAACAGTCCAGTAACTAAGGTGTAATACAAAACCACTACTCCTACCACCAATAATAATAAAGGAAATAACAAGGGGTGAGAATATAAAACTAAAAGGGGAAAGGGAAAAAAACAATAAACACAAGTGATGCCCAATATGATTGCTCATCACTCACCAACCAATACCTAGCCTGACCCAAGCAGTGATCTGGGCCTTCTGGGTAACCCCCAGTTTCTATACTGGGCATGACCTGCTGTGGTATGGAGTATCACTTTGGTTAGTTTGGGTCAGGTGTCCTGTCTCTGCTTCCTCCCAACTTCCCCTCCTCCCTGGCAGAGCATGAGACTCAGAAAGTCCTTGATGGAGTCAACATTACTTAGCAACAACTAACAACATTGGTGTGTTATCAGCACTGTTCTCAGGTTTAAAGGGTGGGGCCAGTTCTGCGCAAGCTGCGCTTCACCTAAAAAATCCACTGCACAGGCTGGAAGGGCTTACTCTCACTTGTCTGTATGGACGAGCAAGGGTCGAAACGGTAGGTGACAAGGTGCATGGGAAGCTGCAGATCCAACGTTGCATGTGGGCGGACCAGCGCATGGGTAGCTCGAGTTAGCTCAGGAGTTGACAGTCATGGTTGGACACTTCCTGATTGCCTAAGCAGCCTTTTTTTCCAACCAGATTTGCATATCCCACATGCCCTTGGTCATCGTGCTTGTAGTAAGCCCTTCCCAAATCTTTGCTCACGAAGCCAAGCCATCAATCAATCTCAGACTAAAGTCAAAAACACAGCATTGCACCAGCTACTAAGAAGGAGAAAAATAACTGTTACAGCTGAACCCAGGACAGAACATAATGAAGGTCTGAGGGTAGGGAGGAGAGAGCTTTATCTTTAAAATTTTTATGGAAAGAATGAATTCTGGTGATCTAAGAAGTTTGCACAAGACTAACAGGCAAAAAACACTCACTTGACGCAATGAAGTCTTATAGAAAGAGCTATGTGTTCTGTTTTAAAACGTTATTTTTATTCTGTATTTGAGAAATGGGGCACAGCAAAATTCAAGGTTACTGAGTCCATGTCTCATTCACACACTGATCACCCCCATATTCCCGCCTAACCAAACAATACTTACAGTCCGTTTTCTTGTCCAGGTCTTCATGCATATGAATTACAGGCAGCTGCGGTTTTCCTGGGAGCCCTTCCCTGCTTTTGCTTTATGAGTCCCTATCTTTGCCCAAGTTATAACCTGCAAGCACCGATGAGACCAGAAGAAACCGAGCAAACTGCCGAAATTGGCAGGGCAGGGCACACCTTTCACTCAGATTACCCTAGGCCCACGGAAGCAAAGCAGGCTTTATCCTGGATGAGCCCCCATTTGTGAAATACGAACTCACTCCTCTAAACAAGATAACAAAGTTTTATTGAGGGACAAAGTCAATAAAGCAAAAGCAACAGCGCTGGGTGCATGACCGTAACCAGAGGTGCAAGTGATTAGTATTTGTTACAGGTTTATATACTTTCACTATTGCATTAGTCACATACATATTCATAATTCCCGTGTATAGGTGGGGAATATTATAACTAGCTCCAGGAACTTATGATAATAAGTCTCCTCCTCTTGGCGTCTGCACACTGCTCTCCGGTGATTGTGGGCATGGGTCTTGAGGATGAAGTAAGCAGTCTTCTTCTTGTGAGTAGGGGTCTTCAAGATGAAGTAAGCAGTCTTCCTCACAGTGTACTCTTCACCTTTGGCACAGTTGGACGCCCCAGTAATCACACAACTAGCTGAAACCAGCCATATCTGTAATTCTTCTGATAACTAGCAAAAATTTAAAACTGTGACCTGCCTGCAAAATTTATTGCAGGATGGGCAGACAAGGAGTATCCCAAGCTAGCAGATGTTTGGGAGGCTCTGTCTCTAAACTAACTGATAAGTAGAAGGATGGTGTGAAATAACTTGTTCACGTTTAGTGGGGCCACTAAATCCTGTTATCTCACCACAGACTTACAACATAAACATTGTTCTCTTTCTAAAACCTAAGTTAAGCTAAAAAGTACTTTATGTTTTCCAGGCACTAGCTTTTCTTATATCAAGTCCGTCCCTGTCCCCATCCCCCCCCCTTTCTTTTACCTTTACAAATTATTTTGCTATGTGACTCCGTTTTGCTCAAGGGTTCTGGCCCTTTTTGTCTAATCTTGTGTCTTTAGCGAGCTTTGTTTCTGTTATTGTAAACTCCTACAGTTATATCCACATAACCACACCTATGATTTGCGAAAGCCAGTACATTTATGTGTTTATCACAGCTTTGTCCCTCAATAAAGCCCTGTTATCTCGATTAGAGGAGTGAGCTCGTATTTCACACCCCCTCCCTTCAGGTAGACCTGGCCTCCCCTGGCTCGCTATGGGGGGCTGTGTATGGGGGGGCGGGGCAGTGCCGGTGGTAGAACTGGCCTCTACTTTTTTTTTTTTTTTTCGGTACCTACCTCACCAGTCTGTGGCATCGAGCCGGCCTCCGGCCCTTCCGACCCCCCTACTCATTTAGGTCTGCACCGCGTCTGTCCATCCAATCGATTTGTTAATGATTTTGTGAATGATTCGTTCATGGATTCATGCATTTGTGAATTCGTCCTTTAATTCCTATTTCCATTTCTTTTTACTGAATCCATATTTTTTATTTTTTTTTTCCATTTTATTCATTCATTATTTTTTCTATCTATCTATCTATCTATCTATCTATCTATCTATCTATCTATCTATCTATCTAATCTATCTATCTATCTCCCTCCCTGCACAGCAATGCACTCCTCCCACTGGCCCCGCACCCCCCTTCCCCCCCTCCCTCCCGTCCCGGTGGGAAGGCTTCTGTGTAAAGAAACATGCACGCACCCCACTCCTTTTTGTATTCTCCTTCCCTTTCTCTCTCGTGTTCTGGTCTCGGTCTCCCCGTCCCTTCCTCCCACTCTCCTTTACCGTACGCCTTCATTTGATCCTGTTTCTGGTCGCTGGGAGCCTGCCCGTCTTTCCCGTCCGGCAATATCCAGCTCTGCCGTTGGGGACAGGGGATGTGCGCGTGCCGCGGGAGGTGCGGTGGGGGGGGGGGGGGGGGGCTGCGGCGTCTGCAGAATGGCTTCCCTACATGTAAAACGTGCACTTGCTGGATATGTGACAGGGTTCACATCACAGTCTTACCATATTGCTCGTCCAAATGAAGAGTGCCCATAGTGGAACATCAGCTGGTTTTCGAGAGGCTCAGTAATAGGAGGATAAGGCACCAGCAAGTGTCCACTGACCCAGTGCAATTGCAAAGTTCACCAAACAGAGAAAGACAAAGGCTAACTGGAACATGAAGATGTACTTATGGTACAGGCTTTCTCCTCCATAAAAAGCAAAAGTATGCTGAGCACCTGAACACAATTTAGTCACATTGGTTGTGTTGAAAGTCTGTACAGGAAGAAAAATCAACAATAGTGATAAGCACTGAATTCTGTGTTCACAGGCTCTGAAATTTAACAGCTTAATACAAATTACATCATTCTGCTTGATGTCTCATTAGATCATTCAACACTGCACTCCCATACTATGTAACCTGTTTACATATATAAGGACTTGTAGTAGTGTCTAATGCAGGTGTTTAAACTATACGTTTGGCAAACGGCTGTTTACCACATACCTGAAACCTAGAGATACGGAATTTGAATGTCAGAAATATACTTTTAAGATACACAAATGCTTCAGTTTCGTTAAAGAAAAGCTGCTCACATAAAAAGTAATAGTAAAGAAATAAGAACATTTGAAAACCAGAGGCCAAATCAAAACCAGAAGCTTGTGTAAATCACCACAGCCAAACTGAAATCAACTGAGCTGTGCCATTCTGTACAAGCTGTGGAAATGTCACAGTTTCTGTTACCTATCTCACAATATTAAAACAGGAGTAGTCTTTACATCAAATTACTCTTCCCTAATTATGTTGTTCAATTAATGTATTTTCTCAGTTTGGGTGTTAAAACCAGTACCTTAGGTTAAATAAATTTAACCCATTAGGTTAAATAAAACCTAATCCCTTTCTTTTTTAGTGTTTGGGTATCAGGATGGTGGGGAATTGTCTGGGATGTACCTAACCACAGCAGTACATTGAAATTTAAACACCTGAAAATAACCCTGATATAACATTTGATAAATATTTCTAATTTTCAAAAAACACTTCAATTCAACCCCACACTCAAGTAAAAAAACAATTATTTTTGGATCTTCATTAAGGTCATCACTGTGCAAAAGCAGCCAAGCCTCTGCTTTGAAACCTGGCTGGTCTTTGGGCAAGTTTGAGGCACAGCTTTCAAATTCTTCCACTGCCTTTTGAGAACCACAAAAAATAGAAATCCTCATTAATTCCGGAACACTTTTCCAAATAAACCTGTTTTTCTGCATCTTCCTTTCTCACTGAGTAAATGAGACTGGTTGATACGCACCTGCTCCCAGGACTATAGTGGGTAAACACAAGCTCTAAAACACTTGTGCCGGTAACAGAAAAACTGCTCTTGCTATGCAGAGATGTGTAGGAAGGGTCACAGACAAAACTGAATACTTTCATTACTTACATAACTAAGGCAAACTTCATCCCAGAGCTGTATGCCCTGGCCAGAATGGGCAAGGGGAATAACCTTGAAAGTTGACTCAGTCTCTCCTGCACATCCACTTCTGACAAGGCACATTATGCAGTAGTAGTTCTTTGAGAGTTTGGATTTTGGTGGAAGTAGACACAGAGCATAAGGATAAATCAACACTGTCCTGTACAGCAATAAGTGACCCTCTTTGCATGAGAAAGAACAATTTGTTTTCAAAAAGCAACCATCCCCTTTCTGACACCTTACCAAAGCCTTTCCTTTCCAGGAACAGACAGTGGCTGCTGTCAGGCAATTTAGAGGACTCGGGGTACTCTATGTTCTCTCCTTTCCTACATTTTTCTGAACAAAAGACACATGGAGCCCACCCAAGCTAACTAAGTGACCAGAATTTATACCTGAAATTAGTGCAGAATGTTACTAATGTTTTTAATCGTAGTGACTGTTGGGTGTGTGCACAGTTGCCTAAATCAGGAGAAAGCCTGGATCTCCCATTAATTGGAGTTCCAATTCCTAACACTGTCTCATGGACAAATTTGTGGGTGAACACTAGCAATCTGTATTCAAAGGAAAGGTTAAAATTTGGAATAGTTAATCCTAATCCAGGAAATAAATATTACACCTGTGCACAAAGATGTATTCCACCAGGAACCAGGGTAGGAGATCATGCTTGTTTAAATGCCAGAGATGTAGGTCACCATTCAAATTGCAATCATACTATTAATATAGATGGTATCGTAGTCCAGT